TACTTAAGGCATCTCTCAGAAAGACTTCTTTGAGAACACATAATTCAAGAGCAAATGCTGGAAACGTCAAAGATAAATGACATAATTTATTCATGGTACATTATCCTTTCTGTCAAGGAAGAATTCATGACTCTAGAGTGAAGCTGAAAGTCCTGTTGCTTTTGGTTATCACTAACTGATCTCAGTCAAGGCACTGCCCTATGGAGATGGGCCCTACAGGAACATACTGTAAAAACACAAGCCTTATTCAGAAATAAAGGTAATCTGTGGCAATAGTGAGGAGGCAATAATGGCACTTTAACAAAAGAAACAGCAGCAAGCTCTGGGGTGAGTGAGCACAGAGTGAAGCACTTGCCCAGCACAAGCCACACACGCACCTTTAATGAGCTTCAACACAATGGCTGGCCAGCAGATTACCAGCTTGACTGCTGCCATAGGAAAGCTTATTTTGGACACCACGAGCAAGAGCAACATCAGGAAGCTTGTCATGGAGCAGCAGGTTTACCAATTACTTCTAGCCATGCCACTGGATGAAAAGCAGTTTCTCCATTTCAAGTGGGTTGGTATTTCTTGGAGGATAGGGCTGGGAGAACAGAAGCCATTCAGGACAGTATCTTTTGCTCTGGTTTCACTCCAGCTAAAGCTCCGGTGGTTGTAGAGTCAGTGCAAGGGTTTTTCACTTTCATAACCTTTCATAAATTTGATACTACAATTGGAAAATTGTCTATGTCTAACAATGAAACAGGTGTGTGGTGAGACTTGTACTGCAATACCTAGAGGAAACTGGTGTTTCCTGCCTGTTTCTCTTTTGTGTTATTGAGCTCAAAGCAAAAAAGAGCAAGTGTTTTTATTAGTGAAACTATAGAAAAAGTTTCTTTAAAAACCACTGGCAAGATCTTTCCCCTTAGGACAAACTGAAGAAACTGTGACATTTCATGCTGCTTCAAAAATAACTAGAAAGGTAGTATGCTTTAGTCTGAAAATCTAAAACATCCGTTCCCTGTCCCAGTTCCTTTCAGTGAATTTAGAAGTCCAGTGATGTTTCAGAGTTAGCCTGTCTCTTCAGTCGCTTCACAGACACAAAGAATTGTAATCACAAATCACATTATGCTGTGCTCAGCTTCCAACAAAAGAGGAACAATTCTACTTGCATTTAAACAGTGTCTCCCAAGCATACATCTCAGCTGTCCCTTGTTTTCAAAGCCATCCCTCAGCTCTTTCTCAAATGTACTCACTTCTCCCAAATGTGATGACTCTGATGTTTTAGTGTTGAACAGCAGAAATTTAAGAACTATTGACTACATTTTTTTTTCCTGTGCAGTGCCAGGTCCCAGTCCTGTACAGGCTGGTGCCCTTTTTGAACTCCATATCCACTGTGAGTAGTTCCACTCACTAGAACTGATAGCCTGGATTAAGCTAATCATATGTGTAAATCTTCCTAGAAGAGGGATTTTATTTTTGCTGCAACAGCAGGCCTGGTTTCCTTCATGAGTTTCTCCTCACCCTTAGCATAAAGACACTGTTATTGAGCAATAGGACAAGAAGTTTGGTAGGAATGGACAACATTCATGTTTTCTAAAAGAATCCTTTTCTTATGTGCCACCTTTCAGTTGCGGACTATGTCTGGGGCTGAAAGCTAAGACACCCATATGATTTCATGATTCTATATATACACTCAGCTCCATGGACATCAATTACTTTCATTTTAAAAACAATTGCAATGTTACCAATTCTTGCAATTTTGTTGTAAATCCCACAAAATTTGATATCTTTCGAAAAGCCATAGCTCCCAGGACCTTATGACATTTTGACACAGCAACAAGCATGGATTTCTCTCTGGCACATGTATCAAAACAAAAGCTATCAGAGGTTAGACACTGACATTTTAAATTCACTTCCTGCAAGTTACTGATAGATTAGAAGTATGCCCTATGGGTGTTTTCATCAATTTATGCAGGTTTCTGACCAGATAAACCTTAAGATCCTAGCCCTGCAAGCCCTTGTGCCTGCTCAGAATCCCACCTGGAATGCAAACAAACTTTTCCTGAAATTCCGGTGGTGCAGGTTCACAGAGTCACGAGCTGTGATGCTGGCAGTGTGCTGGCCATCATGGGGAAGACCATAGCCCGTGTGGATCATTTGTCATTGTAAATCTCTGCCTGAACTTCAGCAAATTTTCATGGCCTGTATTTTTGGAAAGATCATCTCCAATTGCTCTGAATAGGCTGGGTTTGAGTTAGTCACTGAAGACGGGACAGTCACCAAAGAAAGGGAGCAGGTCACCCACAGTAGGCAACAGGGAGCCAGAAAGATACTCCAAGGATGTGGGACAAATGCAGTAAATGGCAGGGCATGTTAAGGAAGAGGGAGCTAGCAGGACTTCCACATACTATGAAAGGCTGGTTTCCTTCCCCCCTTTAGGGCTGTGGTGTGACCAGTGCTGATATATGCAATGTCTTTGGGCTGAAAGACAGAGAGCTGCATCCTAAATGTATGCCCTCTGACAGCAGTTCAGGCCTGTTGGCTTCTGAGATCTGCCTCCTCACCTCCTCTCATGTGGTTAGTAGCTGCCATGGCATGGTAGGGCAGCTGTCTCCCTTGCCACTGGGGAAGCAAAGGAATTAGCATAGTGGCTCCTGAACTCTTCCTTGGGGAACGGGTATTAGACAGCTCCAGGGCAAAACCCTCTTGCTGGCCTGACCTGTATTGTGTATTTGCTTCTAGGCCCTCACCTACTAGGAGCCAGCACACAAGTGTCCAAATTTTAGACTCCATGGGGTGTCTTGATGTGCCAGTGGGCTGCCAGACTCCTGACAAAAACTTTGAAGAGCTGAGGGGAGAAGGAATTCCAGGACTTCCTCATAGTTGGGAATGTATGCAGTGGGGCCCTGCCATGCCATTGTGTAGTTGTGGGCTCCCATGGTCATCCAGGAATACCCAGCTCAGCTGCTTATGGGTGTGCCTTTGCCAGCAGCCTCCACACCACCTCTGTGAACATCGTAGCCCCGGTAAAAGATCCACACACCAAATGTGAAGTGTCAGCTGTCCCACAATATGGGGGCACAAGGTGAGATTCTCTGTCTCTTCTCCCACCCCAGGGCAGCAGTGTGACAGGGTCTCATGGAACCCTTTCCCAGGAGGCTCCTGTTGTGGCACAGGCAGGATGTGGTGACCAGCCAGGAATGGCCAGGCAGGTGTGTGGGGCAGTCAGGTCACTGTGACACCCCCCGTGACAGCAACACCCCAGGCATGGTGTGCCGACCTGCTCTGAAGGGGAAGGAAGCACACAAAATTTGTAAATGCTTTTGTTCGAAAGGAACAACTACAGTCAGAGGGTTGGCAGACAGTGCAGTTGAATTGCAGACACACTAACTCACACCAACAATTCAACCCGTTTGAGAGACCAAGATGGGTTACATGACATCTGCTGTTGTCCTACCTCTTGTATTATGTATGGGCCAATTTTCCAGATTTCTGGTGTCGTTGTTCAAGGGATGCTCCATATTTGCTTAGCTGTTGTTGGCAAGCGTAGTTTGGTTATTTTTGGGAACTACCATATTAAGTTTGGATGTTAAGCTAACCCGCGCTCCATTTCTGCCGGAGACGCTACAGTAACAGGTTCAACCAGGAAAAGATGGACAGGGTGAAAAGGTGACAGGGCACGGTAGAGGCGGAGGGCGCAGCCATGGGTCCTGAGGGGCGGCGGGCACGGTAGGACGGGCCTCGAACGTGCCTTTGACCCCGGGTCTCGCTTGGCCCTTGCGTGGGAGACGCGCCCTCGGATCCCCATTAGAACGCGACTGAGCTCGACCAGCGTCGGCGGCCTCTCTGGGCACGGCCCAACACAGCCTCCCCCCACAGAGCCCGGGCACGGCCGCCGCGCCGCGATCCCTCCGCCAGCGCCGCCCGTCTTCCTCCGCCGCCCCGGGGACGCGGTTTGGCCCGCGCGGGCCGCCGTACCGCGGCCGGGCCGGGGCCGGGGCCGGGGCGGGCGAACGGGCGGCGCGCCCCTGCGCTGGCGGGCTCGGCGGGCGAGTCCCAGCCTGGCCCCGGCGCCTGGCCCGCACCTGGCACTGCGGAGGCGCCCCCTCGCTGCCGCCCCCTCCCTGCCGCTACCGCCCAGGGGACGGCCCCCGCCCCGCCCGCGGGGGCGGCCCGCGCCGCGGCCCCTCCTCGGGGCAGGCCGGCTGCATGGGCAGGCGCTGCGGGGCACCGCGGGCGCCGGGATCGCCGTTCCTGGGCGCCAGGTAGGAGACGTTCTACGCGGCGGGGCGCGCTGGGGCGGCGGGAGGAGGCGCGGCCACTCACCCGCAGTGCTGCCGCCGCAGGGAGGAGGCTGCCGGCTGTGCTGGCTTGGACGTTTCTCTCTTCGCGCTTCTGTCTCCCCTTCTCTCTGTCTCTCTTTTTCTTCCCCCCGCCCCCATTTTGCACAGAAGCCGGGAGGATAATTCACTGCAGGATCTGACTGCATCCCTCTTTCCTCCGGCCACCACCGGCTACTTCGGGAAAGGTGAAGGTGTTGGCCGGGGGTCTGTAATCCTTGGCAGCAGCTATAGTGCCTCCTTGGTTCACTTTATAAATAGGGGTGGGGGGACGTGGAAACATCGAATGCCTTTATTATCTGATATCACATACTATGTAATTGTGTGGACTTAAAGCAGAGATAGATTTGTGAGAGTTAAAAACTCCCCCGTGTGTATTCTCGAGGTTTTTCTGCGAATCGCTGTTTAATAGTCAAGTACAGCATTGTGCTTTCCAGGCTGTGAAGCATAAGGTGGAATGGACATGTAAGGAGCTAAAGCAAGGGGGGGAATATTTGTCTTTGTCATAAGATGATATTGAAGTGCAAAATCTAAATTTTGGATTTGGGAATTGGCGTAGATGTGTTAATTGATACTAAATGGATGATAATTTGTGTGGAAACCTCTGAAAATAGTAATGCTGCCTTCATCCCTGTAAGCGCTTGCATTCGTATTTTCTTGCAAAGAATGAGGCTAGAATTCAATTTACTGTGAATATCATATTGCCTCACGGTGCATCTTTCAGTTTAGATTGCTGTTGATTTGGTCCTCTGGAATCTGCAAAAGGAAAGTCTGCCAGCCTCTGTGAATAGCTTTGCAGTGTAACAGGAGTGGAGTTCCCGAGCAGAATTGCCGAGAGATATGTGAATGCGTGGGAACCAAGCTGAGCACATCGGTGTTTCTGCCTCAAACCTGGGCTCATTCCCCAGGCACAGCCTGTGTGTGGGGTGAACACCTCCGTGGCACCTGGAGATGATGTCAGTCGAAGGGTCTACGATAACGAGTCGGATCAAAAATCTCCTTCGCTCCCCTTCCATTAAGCTGAGGAGAAGCAAGCCTGGGAACAAGCGAGAAGATATAGGCAGCAAGGTGAGTGCTGTGTGGTGCAGCAGCGTGCTTTAACTTTGTTGTATAACTTTCCATCTGTACTGGTGATGCTGCTTTGGGAGACTTGGTATAGCTGTAGAGTGATGCAGAGGAACTAACTGATCTGTGACTGGTCTGTCTTTTAGTTGGGATACTTGCTCTGCTGCAGATCCTTCCTGAAGCTTGTGCCCCTCTTTTGAAGTATTCTTTTTGCTTGTGTGATATAAACCCAGTCTGTATCAGAAAGCTTTTGCGATTTCCCACACGGTGGTGTGTGGAGTTATTACAGATGACTGACAGGAGGAATGCAGTGCTGCCTCTTCCTCCATGTTACCAGCTGCTAATCTGCATTACTGGGAGCTGAGGATACAGAAACACCTCTTGTGTGTAGCAATTGCTCTCACCCTGCAAAGGAGAGTTCTGTGAGCATGTGGGGAAGGGAAGGATGATATGAAAGATGTGAAACATGTCTTGGAGGTATCTGTTCAGATAGCATCTGTTTTCTACAGACTGGGATTTGCTTTCCTCTGTGTGCCTCAGACCTCCTTTCCTTGGGGTTATCTTCTGTTGGGTATAATTGGTTCTTAAAATCTGCCATTCTTCTTGGTGTTTTGGAGAATTCCTGACAGGCACTCACTGACTGGGAATTGACTGGTGTCATGAGGAGAGGATGACTTAAGCCTGGCTTCAGGGAGTGCAAGAGCTGGGTAGCATTGCCTTGTGCTGACAGCAGGTACCTCTGAGTCAGGGCACCTTGTTCTGTCCCATTGGTCTCAAAACAGTAATGTTTCAAAATTTCTCTCTTGAAGCGAAGAGCATATCTAAAATTTCAGGGGGAATAAATGACACTGTACCTAAAAATGGTCTTTCCTCAGCATGACATCCTGTTCTCAGAACTCTGGTTCAGGTCAGAGTTTCCCTTAGATGGCTCTTTAATATCAAGGAACACAGTATTCTTCTCTTGCCAAGCAAGAGAAAAACCTGCCTGGCTTCCTCAAAGTTGTCTAGGGGAAAGTCCTTGGTGCTTGTGCTTGACCTCAGTGTGTGCATGTGCATGTATGTACATTTCATGCAGCCTGTGGACTGGAAATATGCTTTGTTAGTGTTTGTTGGTCTGTACTCTGCAGTGACTTCTACTGGAAGAGACAAAAGCCACTTGTACTCTCACATATGGTGGGCATTTGATTTTGGCTCTGTGGTCTGCACACTTCTTTTCAGGGCTGGGACCTGCTGCTATATACCCTGGGTATTCTATGGTACGTATTTCATTTTGCTTTCCTTACATGTGCCTTTTGGGAGAGCTCCATTTTATCCTTCATGCTCTCTCCCAGTGTGCAGCCAGGGCTGTCTGAACCCCTGGGGAGGGATATCATGGATCCATTCTGCACCATCAAATTTGGGTTTCAGGGTTGGATTTTGTCAATCTTATTAGTGAGAGCCGTTAATCAGTGAGGTGCAAAGGAACTGATGGGGAGTTTGCTGGTAGAATGGGTTTGGCTGGCAGAATCAGTTTGGCATTATGAGGAGTTAGGTGCAGGTGTTGGTTTCCTGAAGTGATCTGCTCTGAATTAGCTCAGATGAGTTAGGGTCTGCCATCAGTGGGCCAGCTGGAGGAGCCAAGGTGAAAGGGAGTGGGCCCTTTATCAAAGATCTTACAGGTGTTGGGTATCTGTGGAGACACTCCCTCTGCTACATGTGTGCTCCTCTGCTTTCCAAGGTGAGAAGCAGTTCTGTTTTTCTAAAATAGCAGAAACAGCTTTCAGTCTGCTATTTGGTGTGTGTAAAAACCCCTGGGACTAACGGTGACCATCATACACATCATTCCTGAAGGATCTTTTCTGACCTGCAGGAAGGAGTCTTTGAGGCATCTTTGTCTCTTGGACTTTATGAGAAATAACTGCTCCAAGAGCTGTATGAAACTGGTCAGGTGGAAGCGTGGAAGGGCCAGTGAAGTTGGTAATCACAGCTGGACGCTGCTTGGTTACATAGGATGGAGCTGGATGGACTGTTGCCCTAAATTAAAGCCTGGAAGATGATATTGTGTTTTGCATATGCAGATGTAGGTGAAGACCCAGCCCTCAACAGCCCTTTGAGTGCCTCAACGTTTTATTGCAACCACGTGCTCGATTTAAGGTGGACAAGCACCCTCGGTGGCACTACTTAAACTTCCATGAACTGTGGTGGTTTGGGTTTTTTCCCCTCCAGTGGGAAGTATCCCAGCTCTTTCCTAAAGAACCCTTTGGGTGTGGGAGGCTTGCCAGGCTGTCTAGTGGTTAGGGCCAGACCCCTCGGGCAGTTTGTCATGCTGAAGAGAAGGCCTGTGAAATTGCCTCCTTTCAGTGAAGCAGCCGTGTACTGCTGGGCTGGCCGTGGGCAGTCTGTGGGAGGCTGGCTCTGCAGAGACCTGTTTGTGCATTGCTGTGGAAGGGGGAGTGTGGGTAAGGAGAGATATTTTGCATGATGGCTGTGCAGGACATGCAGTGTGTTACTTGGGATCTGTACAAGAGAGAACTTGTTTTGTGACTTTGACTAGGACTAATTTCTTGCTGTAATTAATGCATGGTTTTACTGTAGAGCTCCAGGAGTTCTCTACAGAAGTAAAACTAGGGAGCCAATAGATAATGATGGACTTTTAAAAAAAGGAAAAGGGAGGGCCAAATGGGAGCTCTAAGTAAAGCTTGTTGACAAATGGGATATAGTGTTTGGTTTTGTTACTGCTTTTTGAAAATAGCTTTTGTTTAGTGGGAGACCTGATTTTTGTTGCTGCCTGACTAGTTTTGTGGTTAGACTTCTCCTTTTTTTGTGTGTGTCTTCTCATGTTCATGGCTTGAATCCACTTTTGCTGTGCTCTCCAGATCTCAAATTTTCGTGTTGAACCAATATAGACCTAGAGTACTGTGACTTAAGTCTAAGGCTTGTTGACTGTTGGGATTTGTAATGTATTGGTGTGGGGGTTGGAAGCTAAAATTTCCTCAGATAAGTTGATTGGCCTGCATTCAGTTTCTAGAGGATTACTAGCCCTGCCAGAAATCCAGCCGTGCATCTGGTCACCGTGCTTGTGATTCCAGTAGAGACACGGGGTTAAAAGCTGGGCGCTAAGTGCCTTTGAATCACCCTGCAGAGCAGCACCATCAGGACAGAGGGAAAGCTCAGGCCTGACCCATCTCCCATTGTTAAAATGTCCTAGTTGCTGTAGTACCCTGTTCACAGAAGTAGTGTACCTAAGCAAGTACAGTTCCTGCAGGGGTTGTTTGTATTGTTGAGCTCTACACTTGTAAATATGAACCTCTTTTTAACTGATGTAGCAGTGCCATGTAGCAGTGCCTGTTTCAGGGGGGATGGTGTCTGCAGGTATCCTTAGTCAAATCAGATTGAGAATGTCAATGTAGAAACAAATTGCTACAAAACCTGCTACAGGCTTTCCCTGAAACAGGAAGCCAGTGAATCAAAGAAACACATTTGGAATTTGCTGCTGTTTTCTTTGATCTCTGCTGTTTTTTCTAAGCCAGAAATATTTCAAGTTGTCTGTTTAAAAGAGTGCTTTGACTAAAACCTGAATTCCTCAGCAGGAAGTCATCCAGCAGAGAGCTTTTGTGTTGTGGTCTCTCCCCTCTCCAAGTGGCATGCAAACATGTGCAGCTGGAGTGCCTGTTCCTGCCCCATGATGCTGAGTTGGACTGGATGGCTCTGCAAAAACTTATTGAGAGTTTTAGTTCTGAAAATGAGCCCTGACTAAGTTGCTCCTAGTGGGACAGGGTTTCCTGTCCTCCTTTGGTGAGGCATGGTCTGTTCTTACTGCCAGCCAGTAGAAACAAGGACTTCTGTGTACTTCTGTGTCCTGCCAGTGAGCTTGCACGGATTTAAGAGGAAAGCAAATCCATGGAAGCTTCAGACCCCTCATGTCTTATCATTCCCAACAGAGTTCTCCAGCTTCTTAATCCCCTGACATCTCAGCAGGGACCACAGGCTGTCCTGGACACAGGAGATTGGAGTCATGTTTCTGGCCTGACTGTAGCTTCCTGCCTTCAGCACACATTCCTTTTTGTTTGAAAATATAGTGGCTTACAGCATGAATTGTGTCAGACCACTGCTGGTGGTCTGGATCAGCTGAGAATTGCTGAACCTGAACTGTAACAGAACCAGAAACCAGACAAGTTTAGTTCACTGATATAAATGCACCAAAAATCATCACCTCTTATTAAATCACTTCAGGTGCAGCTAAGGCTTGCTGCAGAGTGGATTCTTTGTAAGTCTTTGGGAACTTGGACCTGGAGCAGCAGAACCTGCTGGGTTCCCAGGGAGCTGAATGCAGGGCTGAGCAGCCTGACTGTGAGGGTGAGGCAGGGAGCAGCCTGTCTGCTTTTCTTTTGGCAGGATTTGGAAGGGTCTTCTACAAAATGATGGCGCTTTTGAGGAGCTAGTCAGTGCAGTATTGCCCCATTCATGCTTTTCATTCCACTGCAGTCTGAGCAGTGCTCAGCCCATCTCTGGGACCAGTGCAGCCAGGGGCACAGCTGAGGGAATGCCTGTAACCTTGATCTGGATGTCTGCTACTGTGCCTGTTCTGCTTCAGCATCCATGAATATTGCTTGACCCCAGGTGGTAGCTGGGGATCTCTCTCACAGCTCTGCACTGCTCAGTCTAAATGCAGCCAATTGCTTCAACAGTTTAGGGCCTGCTGTTCAGACATAGAAGGGATTTCATGTCTGTCTCTGGTCAGGCTTATGTGTCCCTTAAAGCACAGGACAAAGGCTGGTTGGGTTCTCCATAGCCAGACCTGCATTTCAGTTGCATGTTTATGTATCTGTAGATAGAGTCTGTGGAACAGGTGAGAGTGTCATAGCTCAGGGGTTGAATGCTTCCCTGCTTGGTTCCCTGCTCTGGTCCTCCCTATTCTACCCTTGGATATGTGGTGCTCAGGGTACCTCTTTGTTTGTGAATAGTTTAACACACAGCATTTTCTTGTTCCAGTCTTCAATCTGTGAATGAGATGCCTTGTCCTG